GGCAGCGCGCGGAGGGGGAGCTGTCCCTTATCCTAGGCAGGGCGCCTGGATTGAGAGCCTGTTCTGAAGATTCAATAGAGTATGGCCTTCCTGGGTGAGAAGGCTCGTGAGGGTTTATATGTGGGATGTGGCAGCGTGGCAGCGTGGGCGAGGACTGGCAAGGGCGAATGAGCAGGGCTACAGAAAGTCACGTTACCGTGACCTTGCAGGGGCGAATCAGAGGACGTAGATGTTGGAACGTGACCCCGTCCCCTGTGGCTTAGCTCCCTCGCTTAGTCATCATTAGATAGATTTCTGGTCCCGTCCCGGACTCCCGGGTACCATCCAATAGACAAGCATCCATCGCTTCACAGTAGAGGGCGGTCATGGCCCGGGATCACATGGTGCGGGACCTGTTATACTATTCTCTTATCTCTTATCTCTTACTTATTGAATCGTTACTAAGTTTCCAATCTCCAAACTAAGTATGCGATGTCCCTACTATATGATATTCAATATTCAATATTCAATATTCTTACTATACAATATTCAATAATTTGATATCCTTACTATACGGTATTTGATATCAGTGCAATATGTGCGAGCACAGGAGGCCAGGAGTGGTGAGACATAATCATTGTAAAAAAAAGCAAATTTCTGTTTGTATAAATAGTCCGCTATAATTACAAATCCACTCCGCGCGTCTCATGGGCCATTAACATTATAGTTTTAGCGCTAGGGCGGCCTCCATAAATAGCAGTATGGGGAACATAATCTAGCCAAAGCCTACTCTATCTAAAGTATCTAAAAGTAAGGATATAAGATCCACTGATCTGAATCCTGGTACAGAAGTCTGGGAGGGTGAAGAAACTGACATGCATCCCATCACGAAGTAGACTGAGCTGGGTTTGTTATATGTAGCCCATACAGTAGTTAAATAATAAATTCTTGTTCTTGTATGCTTTTTGGTTATTTTCCGAAAATGAGCAGGGTGTGATTTTGGCCCATTGCGGTGGTAAAACTTCCATGGGCGCTTAAGGAATACCATGATTGGTTGAGCTGAAGAAATCAGCGCCCGATGAGAATAGCCAATGAGGCGCTGAGATGGCCACATAGACCCTCTGCTAATTCAGGTGGGGTTACAGCGTGTTGATAATAAAGGAACTGACCAGACCTCTCCAGTGCTGGGAATACATGAAAACAATATGAGTGCCATTGTAGGTTTTGACCACCTTGGCTTCCTTGCTCTATCCTTCCTTCTTCACATCTATGAAGCGCAGCAAGATCCCGAAAATGTTAGCGGCGAAGACGAGGAACCCGATGACGAGAACGATTCAATAACATTGCATGAGCTATCGACTTCCTATCCAAAAGAGAGACAACTTGCCAAGTTTTTAGACTCGATCGCGGAAACGTTTTCGCGGGAAAAATCTATTCCTCGAGCGGGAGGGCAGCGACATATACGACGCAGGGGTAATGCAACGGGAAAGGGAGCGCGTCAAGTCTCTGCTTCCGGTTTGGTTATGGCGAACCAACAACCTACGGTTTACATCGCAAAAAATGAGGGCACAGACGAGGAGGACAAGAAGGAGGACAAGAAGTTGGCCGATACTCTAACGACCTGGATCCGGGCTATCGCGTCTACGGGGAAGCGGCCGGCTATTGACAAAGACAAGGTCTGGACGGAGCTGTTGAGCTACTACAAGCAGCGCCTAGATGTGTATGCCGCACAAATAGAATCCTTTTCTGTGGCGGAAATCACTGCCGCCTTTGTGGAAGGATCGAATGGAGTTGCTCGTGCCTGGGAGCTGCATAGCCTGTCTGTTGAATACAAAATTGACAAGTCCACTGAGGTACTCCGGCGCATGGTATCTATCGCATATGAACTACGCTACGAACCGAATCCTGCCACCCTGTCTCCGCGAAGCAGAAAGGGGAGGAACTCAATTTGCTTTTTGGGGCGTCTCAGATCAGCATACGAAACATTCAAGGAGACCGCCATCCAGCTTCAAAAGTCATTTGCGAAGCTGAGTATCGTTTGTCTCCAAGCACTGGATAGTATGCGATTTACAAGGAGGGAGGTTGAGGAACGGATCCAGATTCTGGCGAGGAAAGAAGGAAAGCCTCAGCTGAAAAAAAAGGAGATTCGAAAGGCGTTGGGTGAGAAACCTGAGATAAGGACTCATTGCCATGCAGAAATACAGCTGCTTTTGCATCTTGAAAGTTATACCTCTCCCGAGGAGCATCCATTCCCGTATCTAGGGTGCAGCAAGAAGACATGTTGGCTATGTCATCAGTTTTTGTCTCGGTATAAGAGCAAGAAGACAGATAAAGGGAATTTCTACCAGACAAGGGGCTCTCATAGAAAAGTTTACCCGCTTTGGCACATTAGACAACCCGCTGACCCACGAATGCAATTCTATCTCTCGACTACTCTTCAGGATATTCAAGACTTGATGAATGCGAAGCTCCCAATCGTCTCTCATATCCAACGACCTGCCCAGGCAGAGTCTTCAGCAAATGTTACAGTCGCCGGGGGAGCGCTCAAACGACGTGCGCTTGCAAAGCAGAGAATGATGGAATCCTCAAGGGAGTCAAAAAGCAGCAAAGACGAAATGACCATCTTAGACGACTTTGTGTGCTCTAAAGAGTGTTTCAGGATCCCGGCCAACGGAGAGACGCCCCACTTTCTCAGCATTGATTTCTATAGGTCTCCCCAAAACTACATGGGCCACGAGCCTCCAACTTGGTGTATTCCGGACTTCAGTGCATATTGGAGCAACTTCAACTTTGAGCGTGTCTATCGCGTATTCAAGTTGAACAAACAAGAACCGGGGGAGCTGAACGGAGAGTACGTCTTGTACTGGTGTTGTAACGATGGCCTCCAACCGAACCGGTGCCTGATGTCTCTCCTGGGAATCGAGTCTCTGCGGATTGATGAGTACTTCTGGTATGGAGATGTCTTTATCACGCGCTTTCATGAAGATGATAAAACATTTGAGTTCTCCTGTGAAGACGTGCCTCGGGCCTTTTCGGGCTGCAAGGAGTTGCTTACGAACCTGATTTGGTCCTACTGGAAGAGCAAAGAACCCAAGAACGCTATTCTCGAATGGCAGTATTTAGAGGCCAAGCAAGAAAAGCATAATGCCGATAAGCAGATAATACTCGGAAGAATGTACGATACTGACTCATCCAGATATGTTTCACTAAATGCTAATATCTTACGTTTTCCAGGTCCAGAAACGAGCGAGAGATTTTGAAACAGATGCCGTGGATGTTAGAATATCTGGCCATCACCGCTTGCGATGATGACGCTTTGGTTGATGCATCTATTCGCGAAAGCAAGGATCACCCGGGAATGGCGGAGGTATCAGTGGTGCATCGCAAGACTGCCATGGAGCAAAGAGGCTGGAAAGGGTTTTCAAGTAATGACCTCTAGACGGCAAGGAAGAAGTGATCCGCATAGGGACGAACATTATGTAGCCTGAAATACCACCATCCGATATCCGCTGTACCAATCCCAAGAAGATGGATGCTCTCAAAAGCGGCTCAAATCCAGTGGCCCGTACCGAAGAAAATTCGTCCACCTGCACCAAAGAATACTCACGCTTGGTATCTAGCCAAGACTTGATAATTCATTGCTGTATTCAGCTTCTTCAGCCATTCAGGACATGGTGAGATAGTTGCCAGTCATTTCTTGCTGCCAGCATTGAAATGTACCAAATGCCTAGACGAACAGTCAACTGGTTCCCACTCGCAGTCCAAGGAATAGCATTCCCCACCGCCAAATGACCACTTTGCGCCAATCTCTTCACAGGTACAAGCTCAGTATCTGTCACGATAAATCCGTACTTTGTCTTGTTCTGTACCATGTAGTAGTTCAGCTGCGAGAGCACTTGCTTGTATTCCCTGGCGTCTTGCGCATCCGTAGTTGTTCTCCACTCTGATTTCCATTTCCAGGAGACCTTTAAATCTGCAGGGGCACGGTTGTCTCCGGTGCCTAAAGTGTCGGAAGATCTGAGGATCGCCGTGTCTGGCTTAAACTGGTCAAGCAAGGTTGCTGCTGAGCCACCATCAAAGGTAACCGCTTCGTGATTCGCAGTAGCGGTGAGGGAAGGGTTCTGCTCGAATCCAGCTCGTAGCGCCCTCCTGACGCGTGGGTATATGTATTCAACGAAGCGGTCGTGGAACAACATCTCGTCCCTGATAGGCCGAGGAGGCGATGTTGGCATCGGATCCGATGGGATTGGGGTGCCATTGAGCACCGCACCATAATCCTGTATTATCCTGGAGTAGCTGAAATCCGACCACGAGACGACATTTTTGATATCTCTCCAGCTATATTTGTTGTTTGTGGTGGTCGAGGTCCTTGTAGTATTTTGATGACTCAAAGCGGGGGGGCATCTTTCGTCAAGTACTCTAAAAGAGTCTGGTGCGACATTATCTTCCGTTGCAGTCGTGTTCGAATAAGGGAATGATGATATGGACTTAGGAATGGAAAGACTGGGCTTCAAACCGCTTTTATATTTCTAACTGTACACATGGAGAGAGTAGACCATGAAGTTCCATCACGGCAGCACCAAGCTTAACGAATAACCCAAGGACCGATGCTTGGTGTTCATGCGAACTTCAAGTAGCTGCTTACGACCTACAATCCCTCTTCAGAACAGATTAGTACTTTGAGGTATTCGGTATGGTATAGGTTGAAGAGCTCGCGTCCAAGAAACAATATTCTGCGGAAAGAACGAATGACTTCAACCGGTTGCATTCATGCCAGGAGTAGTTAAATGTCTACTGTACGGTTTGGATAGAGTAATACAGCTTCATATTGAAGAGGCGACTTTGTCTTGCATTCCTGGTATACTTCGAATAGGTCAATTGGCTGGTTGTGTACATCCTCGCAAGTCGTGTAGGCTTGGTGTCATTAATTACACATGTTCTTATTACGTTACCGAAGCATGTACTTCTTTTGGTTGGTATGGAAGCTTTAAAGATGAAGCTCAAAACTAGTACCCCTGTCTGAGGAAGAATATGCTTGCTAACACACAGTATCTTGTTTCTAGGATTGTGGTTGAAGGGTAGTGGACAGTCAAAGAAGTGCAGATCGAGCTAGTTAAACTGAATAATGTAGAACTTCAAGGAAAATCCCAGGAGATCACAATAGGAGAAGCTTATGATAAAAAGCTTCTATCCGTCTGTCGGTGGAGGTATGGATGCCTCCTTCTGTATCTAGCCAAATGTCAGTCAAACGTAGGATGAGGGATGAGGGATGAGGGTACTAACGAGTTTGCGAGCGCAGCTGCAGAAAAATTCGACTTCAGACTCAATCTCATCAGCGAGATTGAGATCCCCTCGCTTCTCCGCAAAAAACACGATTGACACATCAAAATCGACCCAAACAATCCTATTAGAGACAACCAGAGCATTCTTGGGCTCTGCATCGTTGTGGATGACCCACGCGGAATGGATGGCTTTAAGACCTTCAATTGCCAGTTGCAATAGCCCTGGAGTGACATTCTTCGCCGTAAGCGAGGTCGCGCCAGGCAGGTATTGCGTCAAGATTGCACATGGTCGTCTTCTATCATTTTTAAAAGAATCAAGGCTGTTCCCAAAAAGTTCAGGGTCAAGGTTTTCATATGTTCCGTAAAACAGAGGAACAAATCCACGGTCGCAAACACCCCGAGAACGGAGAGCTTCGTATGTTTGAGATTCACAGCGGTAACGGCAGAGATCCCGGCCATCATCCGAAAAGCCTGGGTCATCTCCCATATGGAACTAAATGAGAACTGATCAGCACTGTTTGATCGGCCGGTTAGATGCGATTCGCAGACCACTTTGAGGCAACACTCCGCACCCTTGTAAGTGACATAGAATATCTCAGATGCCTCTGACGTATGTATACTCTTGATAACCTTGACGTGCTTCGGCTCGAATATCATGTTGGAGCTTAACGCGACACGTATAGTCATGATGGTATAGATGGCTGGATCCTGTGATGCTGAGGTTCCATGCTATGGATGACTAAGTTCGATCGTGCTTAACTTAACTAACTATATAGTTAATCATTTGGAGCAACACAAAGAAACATGCTTTGGCGTACTTTTTGCTTGTAGAAAGAAAACTACGTCGGGTTTGGTGACTAAGAAATACTTTAAATACCACTCCCTCGCCACCTGTTGCTTGAGTACATAATACGTCCCGCTTCATTGAAGCTCCCAAATAAGGGTGATCGTTAATCCTTACTATCGTTGTTTTTGATCCAACCCGCTATGGATGTCCTGCCTCCGCCAGATTACCCTCCTATCAAGCCGAGCGAGTACCCTCAAATTCCAACTCGAACGCCACCCGCGACCCTTGACAAATTGCATGCTTTTTGCGTCAGTGGTGATATCCAGAAATTCCGGGAGGTTCTTGACTCACCAAGTTCTTCGTCGGAGGGTTTTGACATATGTGACTTCTATGCGATAATGATCGAAGCCATCAAACGAGATGATGCGCAGTTCATCAAAGAGCTGCTTGATCGCGGCTTGCCCATGGATCCACTCTATGCATTAGAAGCCATAAAAGTAAAGGGGAAGGATGCTCTGAAAGTTTTCCTTCAAAATGGGTGGGATATCAATCAGCCAGTGAGTGAGCTTAAACCTCCCGTACTAGGGTGAGACTCATGATCCCAATATCTTCAAAAATTTACTGGAGATAACATTATAACATTTCCTCAGCTATGCTATTGCAGATGAGGAGATGGCAGCTTGGCTCCTTGATCATGGAGCTGATCCCAATCGTCAATGCGTTATTGATCTCACCCCATTCTCCTTTGCTGTCGAAAGCGCCTCCATTTCTGTGATCCACCTCATTCTCAGTCGTGGCGGAAATGTTCAAAAAGGCCAGCTCCTTCATCATGCAATTGAACGGCAGTCAGATACCATCGAGGTATTAAAGACTTCTCATTGAAAAGGAGCACATATTAATTCAACTATGTACGAGAACCATTATCCTTCTTGGGCGTTATTCTATTTTATGGGTCTCGGAACAGCCCTGCACAAAGCAGCTGAACTTGGAAAAGTGGATGTAGTTCACTACTTGATCAGCAGAGGAGCCAACCGGAGTATTAAAGATGCAAATGGTCGTACAGCTATGGAGTGTGCGCAAATGTTGAGCCAGTGGGAAGTCATCAAGGCATTAGAGAACGGGAAATAGCTCGTCTCTTCTGTCCTCATGTTACGTGTTTCCGGGTACCTGTCTTCCTGGGCTTTTGGATGATCTGGTCCATACACTCAGTGTCTTTCCTTTTGCGTCAACCTGCCGAGTTACCGAAATCCAAGAACTATAATATAAACCAACGTTATCTAAGCGCGGTCCTACGCGGTATACTGTACTTTCTTGCAACACTACAAATGATTATCTTGAGGCCCACAATGCAATATCCAGCAAGTAACACCAAGCTGACATACAGAGATTAGCATTGCTGCGGGATCAACGCATATAATTTGGTATAGAGATGATATAGTTCAGGCCACCTAATCTCGACCCTTGGTTCCCTGCAACGGTTACTTTCGACTACACAAACGGAAAGACGACATACAGCAATCACTACCACTACCTACTTCATATTTTCTGGTTTGACTCGATTTGTTGTCAAGGACTTAGTATCATATTCAGAATTATATAGATTCAGTCCATCACTCCGAGAAACACATACTGGGTCGCCCAGGGGTACTTTTGTTGGATGCATCCCTTCTTTTCGCTTCGGAGACTGGGCTAAGCCACAAAATATGAGTAAAGTGCTTCTTCAGAGTCGAAATGAAGGGGATTGTATACTCTCAGGAGCAGTATAAATAATGCAAAACCTCAATGTGATATATGCTGAAGATTAACCACATCAAGCCACTTTCAGTTCAACCTCACTGAAGTATAGAAAATTCCTTTGATATCCTTTTACTTGTGATCTGCCAATACCACCTTCTAAATAGAGAATATGTGCAATGCTTCTTAAAGTTGTTACAATGTCTGTATGAATACAGCAGGTGGGGTGAGCTGTGAGGTATATGGCGTGAGTCTGCAGGGCACCATCGGGAGCCAGTGCTTGAGTAATTAGCCTAACAGATGCGTGTAGTCTGAGGAACTGTGGTCGTGTGCTCTGTGGAGGGGACTGTATAGACAGGGTACAGTGCTTGAATGGCATTTGGGTAGGGCGTGGCAGAGGTCTGGCTGATGTACCTAAATATCTCTTGTATTTGCGAGGAGGTGTGTGTTGGAGAGCATTGAGTGTATGGCTTGCCCATAAGAGATGCATGGAGTTGCCGTCGCACGTGGACTGGTGGCCATCCTCGGAGGACCGCGATGATCTCACTTCGAGGACGCAGTTCTTAATAGATAGCCCAATAGCTACGAGATACGTATAGAAACTATCTAATCAAAATATTCAACAGTTGCTGAGTTCTTCTGTTGTGGTCTGGTACGGAAGGATGCGACTATGCTCAATGTATCAAATGGGAAAGGGGCTGAGGGTCAGTTACACGTCAACCCGGAAGTACAGGTACAGAGCCCTCAGATAACTCTCATTATAAGCCTTTGTCCTTGAGCAGCGCAATTAAATGCTCCCCGACCACATCCCCAACGAGCCTATACCCCTCGGCAGTTAAATGCAGCCCATCATCCCAGATCTTCTCTTTGAATTCCTCTGTGGCGTTGTGGTAGGGCAGTGCGCCATGCAAGTCAAATGCGTGGCTATTCCAGATTAGTTGCTTTGCAGTATTCTCGGCTTTATTGGACTCACAATCCCTCCGCTTTATGAGCGAGTATGGACGAGTTCACTTTGTTTCTATTTGTGTTAAGCGTCGTACTGACAGCCGAACATTCAGGGATGGTCAGGGCGAGAACATGTGCGCCGCTGTCTAGAGCTACCTCCCACACGTCTTGCAGGGCAGGGTATATCTTCGAAGCTGGATACCTAGTCCCGAGATCACTGCTTATATTAGTATATCAGATTCCTCAGGCGTAAAGAATGAAAGGAAACCGACTTTGTTCCCCCGAGAATGATAACCCAGTCATAGTTGGATCCGTCAACTGTAATGGTCAGCACTGCAACAAAGACAAGTGGAGTAGACACACATTTTGCCTGGATTCGAGGCAGGAATTTGCCGGCAGGACTGACGACCAAATCACCTGGAAGGCCGTCCTCGTCGACGGTGAATGTGGTAGTGGGAAACGCTGCCTGCAGTTTATTTTTCAGTGTCAAGGCGTATGGATGGTAGTCGCATCCAAAATGGTAGTATCCAGCTGTCAGAGAGTCTCCAAAACAGAGTACTGAGAGTTCCTTGCCCATGTTGAATATCTAGATGGTGTGTTTGTTTATTTGTTAGAGGCATCTCATTGCTTTTTATACCCCGCGCATATCAAATCGCGCTAGACCCAAACTAGCAACCAAGCATGGCTTTCAGCTGCAAAATTCTTCACATTGATCACCTTATTATTCATAGGATAATGGAAGGAAGCTTCTGTAAAAAGATATGCGAGTGAAATTGAGAACATAATAAGTATTCAAGAAATCCTCCCAATCGGGGTATCACGCTTGTCAACTCCTCGAGGACTATGCGCACTCGGCCGATCTGGTAACCAAATAAATCCCTGCTCATGTTTCACGCATTCTCCCTACTTCGTTTCAGCCGGCTCATCATGGTTGAGCACTTCAAGCAATTGATCCGCGGTCAAATGATCCGAGACATGCTCCATCCGATGGACATAAACGCACTTGCCCCCTCGGAACACCCACTCGCC